GCTGCAATAGCGGACTCAAACATAATGATGGCGAGGATGACCCAGGACCAGCCACAACCCTTCGAAGGTCGCTGTGAGTCAGAACCTATTTAACAGCACCTAACAACAGCCCAAACCAAACCAAAGTCACTGCCATTGAGTCAATTCTGACTCACAGCGACCCTCTAGGACAAGGCCGACCTGCCCCTGTGGGTTTCGGAGACTAACTCTTTACGGGGGTAGACAGCAGCCTCCTCTTATACCCGCTGAGCAGCTCAGTGGCTTCAAACTGTGGACTTTGCAGTTAGCAGCCCAAGGGTAACCACTTCACTACCAGGGCTCCTAAGAGCAACCGCAAGTGTGTGATCTAGCTGAAAGGTGATATGCAGAAGTAATTTCAGTTCAACAGTTAACGAGTCTCTCAAAGACATAGTCTCCGGGGTTCCTCTAGTCGCACCTGGTCTAGCGAGTCTGGAGTTTTAAATAATTTTAGTTTTCTCCTGTTCTATCAGAGTCCATCTGTTGTGCTCCAACTAAGGTGTAGAACAGCACACAAACTTTATGAACTCTATTATGCCAATTTCCCAAGCTGTCCCATGATCCTAAGCTTTCAAACCCAGCCAACCAATCCTGTGACATGTTTGGTTATGTTGGAGAGGTTTCCAGAACTGTTCTTGCTATATTCTTTGAACACACATAATCTTTGTATCCACATATACCTATAGTTCCACCTATGCATACATGCACGCATACCTATATGACCACACACACATCTTTTGGTGGCGGTTACTGTTGTTTCAAAATTCTATATGTTAAAGCATTTACCCCAAACACCTCTCCTAGTCTTATGCAATTCTTTGCAACATCATTTACCTGGGTCAAATTCTGTCTCTGGGCAACTAATTAGGGGCGTTGGGATTTGCTGACCCGCAGAGCTAGAGCTGAGGGTCTTGGGGTTGAGGCTTACAGAGGAGTGGCATTCTTTCACAGCCCTAAAAGAGCTTTGTAATATTGTCTGAACAGGGAAGAGACCAGGCCAAGGGGCTGGGGCACAGCAGAGAAGAAACTGTCCTGACTGAACAACTGGATCCTGAACATTTCTCACCCGTTCGCTTCCCTAGCTGTGGGAATCATCATCAAGGTCGGTGTGGCTGTTGGAGAGAATGACTGAATCCAGCCACAGAAGTCAGAGTGCTGTGTGAAGGATGGCTGTCGTCAGAGTAGGATTTAAAGGGATGGAGGTGCCCTCTGCTTTGTGGTGAGTGGCCTTGGACCTCAGAGGAGGTTAGATGTGCCCCCAGGCCTTTTTCTCACTGGCCCTTGCCCATTTTTCACAGCGTGGTCTTTTGGCTGTTGAAAATTTTAACGTAGACACTTTTGAAGAGTCTTGATCAAGGTTTTTGTGGGGTTTTTTTTAGGAGGTCTGTCAATTGGGGTGTGTGTGATATTTTCTCATGGTGAGAATGGGGTTCCATGCTGTGGGGAAGAGCCCTTCTCAGTGACACACAATACAGGGTCTTCTTCCTGGTGAGACCAACTAGCACTCCTCTCTTGCTCACGTCGGTGCCTGCCAGGGCTCCTAGGACGTACCTTGCACTTTCCACACTCAGTGGAAGGCTGGCACAACTGGGAGGATATAATCAATGTCACTGAATTTGACATGTCTGAGTGATGGAGATGGTATGCTTTATTATGTGCATTTTCACCGCAGTAAACTTGGAGAGAAAATGCAAGTTGTTAAGTTCAACTCACATTCAAGAAGAGGGGAATTAAGTTCCACCTCTGGGAGGGAGGAGAATAAAATCTTCAATATATATTTCATATGTTTTGCCTTAAACCTCTGCCCACGACTTTTACCATTCAGTGGCTCTTGCCTGCAGCAATGATTACCGTGGCTCTCTGATGGCATTTTTCTCTTGCCCTCATTCCTTCTAGATGTTTTATTTAAGTGTGAACTGTCCCTGGGTGGCACAAGTGGTTAAGCAACGGGCTCCTAGCCAAAAGGTAGGTTGTCTGAATCCATCGGGTTTCAGCCATGAAAGAAACGCCTTCTGAAAGGACACAGCGATAAACTCTCTGGAGCAGTTTGACCCTGAAATACATGGGGTTGACATGGCAACTGATTTGGGTTTTGTTTTTTTGGTTTTGTCACTTCTGGGTTGACATTAATTCCTGTTAATACTACAACACTTAATCATTTGCACCATCCAGGGACTCTAGCATTTATTTATTTCACCATATAATTTATTTATGCAAGTATGACCCATAAGTATTTTCTTTTCTTTTTAAAAAAAATTAATTATTTTATTGAGGGCTCGTACAACTCTTATCACAATCCATACATCCATCCATTGTGTCAAGCACATTTGTACATTTGTTGCCATCATCATTCTCAAAACATTTGCTTTCTACTTGAGCCCTTGGTATCAGCGCCTCACTTTCCCCCCTCCCTCCTCTTCCCCCCTCCCTCATGAACCCTTGATAATTTATAAATTATTATTTTGTCATATCTCACTGTCCGACGTCTCCCTTCACCCACTTTTCTGTTGTCCATGCCCTAGGGAGGAGGTTATATGTAGATCCTTGTAATCGGTTCCCCATTTTCACCCCACCCTCCCTCCACCGTCCTGGTATTGCCACTCACACCACTGGTCCTAAAGGGATCATCCGTCTTGGATTCCCTGTATTTCCAGTTCTTATCTGCACCAGTGTACATCCTTTGGTCTAGCCAGATTTGCAAGGTAGAATTGGGATCATGATAATGGGGGGAGGAAGCATTTAGGGCCTAGAGGAAAGTCGTAGGTTTCATTGTTGAGTATTTTTTATTTTTTGGACCCAGTTGTCATATATATCTCTATCTCTCTATCTCTCTATCTATCTCTCTATCTATCTATCTATCTATCTCTCTATCTATCTATCTATCTATCTATCTATCTATCTATCTGTCTATCTATCTTTTCATCTATCTATCTATATAACACAATTGTCTTTTTTCCCCTCTTAGTTACTAAAATGGTTTCAGCTTTAGCCATGGAGAACTCATTCCAGTTAACCCCTGATGACATACTCCCATCTTTCTTTTAGATCTTTTAAAATTTAATGGCACTGAAAGACTACAAGATGTTCCAGACTTATCTCATATTTTCTCTGCCCCAGGCTTAAAATTGGCCATTTCTCCAAGGAGACCTGGTTCTTTTTATTGGAGAATGGTATTTAGCAACCAAGATCTGAACATTAGATATTCTCATTGCCTTGGGATATCATAGTTTCTAGGAACTATCAGAGTAAACCTAAGAAGCCATGACAATTAATAAGGAATGCATCCATGGTACATAGCTAAGATGGCCCCATTTACTGATATTCATAGTCTGTGTACTCTCCTGCTTCGAAGTACCTTGATTCTAACCAACTTAAAAAAAAAGCCTCAACATATCACTTCCATGATTAGCCTACAGAAAACTGTTAACTTTCATTGCTAAGTGTCTCTCTTTTGCTGGCTTTATTGAAGCAAAACAATCATACTGAAAGCTACCTCACAGGAAAACACACAGCAAAGAACTGAGGGTGCATGCCTCTGATAGCCAACGAGGAACCCAGGCTCTCCACTCAGTGGACTACAGAAAGAAAGGAATCTTGTTCATAGTTCTGGGAGCCTGGAAGCCAATCCCTCCCAATCCCTTTCAGATGAGTCCTCAACCTTGGCCCACACCTTCAGAGATGGCACCCTGGTGAGAAATAGAGGACTGAAATAGAGGACTCAGCTAAACTGTCTTATTTGTGATTCTCAAAACCTGGGTGATACCTATGTTGTGAGCAACTAAGTTTGTGGTAATCAGTTACAGGTAAACTAATCCTAGAACAACAAAAAAGACTGAATGAAAACAGTGAAATCCAAATAAAGTTTGATGTTGATATTGTGTCAAATGCTATTTTCTTGGCATTGATAACGCTACTATGGCTTTATGTTTTATGTAAGATGTGAACATTAGGGGAAACTGGTTGATGGGCAGAGCCCTGTGACACTGCCTGGTAAGCACTGGACTGCTAATCACAAGGTTGGCGGTTTGTGGTTCAAACTCACCAGTTGCTCTGGAGAAAGCTGAAGCTGGCTGCTCCCGTGGAGATGTGCAACTTGGGAAGCCCTGTGTAGGGCCCTTATGAGGCAGAATGTACCCGATGGAGGTGGGTTTGTTTTTGTTTGGGGTAATGGGTGTGGGAACTCATTAAATGTCCAACTCTTCTGTAAATTGAAAATTGCTCGAGAACAAAAAGATAAATAATACTGGACATTACCTATTAGAGAGCATAGCAAATGTGAGGAGAATAAAAGAAAAAAGGAAGCCACCAGTCTAGCGCTGGAGACCCTGAGCAGCAGGCTTTAGGGAAGTAGCAGTAGTGACAAGTTAGCAATGGGCAGTCGATGGGATCCAAGCCCTCAGGGGGGTCAGTGTCTGGTCCTTTCTCGGGGGTCACAGTCTGATTGAGGGTTCCAGGAATATTGTTTTTCTCAGCCTTCAAGATTCTTTCCTGTGTTCACTTCCCACACATGTTCCCTGAAGATGACAGCTCCACAAGCAACTTGCTTGCCCCTTCCTCTACCTTTAAGGTACAAGGTCTGCCATTTCCACCATCTGGGAACCCCTGCAATTGCTGCCAGTTGTTATCTATCCGTTTTAAAAGTAAACTTTCACGAACATCTCCTGCTCCGTCTTTGCAGTGGCGATTGTTCACATCAGAGCCTTGACTTACCTAACTTTACAGGTTAGCACTTTCCTTGTTTACTAGCTGTGCATTTTCTGAACTTACTTCAATCGCAGGCCACGTCTGGACACTTAAGACGGGCATTAAACTCGCCACCTCATGATTAATATACATCAGCTAACTGAGTTTGGTGAAACACTTTTAGTAGTTAATGACTTGTTTTAAAGTACCAACTACTCCTTTTTACAAGTTGCTTTTCTCAAGGCCTCTTGTATGGGGTAAGGTGCTCACTGCATAGTTGAAAACAAGGACAGGAGACGTTTTGCCAAAGTAAAAAGCGCATCAAACACGCCTACCATTTATTGTTTTAATCACAAAGCTACAGACTTCTCATTATACCCTCTTGGGGCCTAGGCCCAGCTGATAACCTTGGGTGTATGTGGTGAAAGAAGTGGGGTGGAGGGGTATGTTTCTTGATAACTCTGATTGAGGGGGTGGATTCCACCAAATGGAGAATTGGGTGGGGGCCAGAAGTTGGGGATGAGAAGGGTGGGAATCGTTCCCCCACTCCTTATCATTTTCCAAAAAGATATCCCTCAAGGAAGGGGGGCAGAAATCTGCCCCAGGGTCAGGACCTAACAATAATCTAGCAATGTCAGTCCACGAGATTTCAAGGTCTGTCCTCTTCTCCAATAGGTTAGGTTGGGCTGGTCCCAGGTTAACGTGGGGGAGCTCTAAGGACCACTGCTTCTTAACGTGGGATGCTTGGATGGGATGTTGCTAAGAAAAGAGGGGAGGGCTGTGACCTACATGTGAGGTGGCCTGATCTTACTGATTCCTTCTTGCCTGAAGTACCTGTGCTGTGCTGTTCCAGTATACAAGGGATAGACCTGTCTGACTCAATTTCTAGAAGGTAGGAACAGAGTTCCCAGGAGAAGAGGAGAGCGCTTCAGCCTTACTTCTTTCTTTGCCTGAGCGGGGGGGTGGGGGGGTGGGGGTGGAGGTGTCATGGGGAAAGCGCTAGTCCCAGGGGTAGACCTCCATCATTTTTCATTCTTCCTCTTGGACTGGTGATTACAAGAGAAGCAACGGAGTAGCATCCTGAGACTATCTCCCAGGAGGCCTGGCTAGGGCTGTTCCTGGGGGGTAGGGGCAGGATCTCATCCTGTCTCCCTCCCTCATCTGGGCCAGCCAGGGCAGATCCGATGGGGTACGTGGACACCATCAAGTCTGAAATAACGGTGCTGGGCTGTTCCTTTTGGGGAAGGGCTAGGACTTCACCTGACTCCTCCACTTGGCCTGCTCAGAGGTGGAGCCTGATCTCCTCTCTGCTTCCCCCAGAAAACCTGGGCAGGGCAGTCTCATGAAGGGGTGGGGGCAAAGGCAGGGCCTCATCCTGCTTGGTTGGTCCTCCTTTCCTGGGTAGGAAAACTTCAGGGCAGGGGAGAGGCCTGATCAGGACTCTTCCTCCATGCTGAAGCTGCTGCGGCGGCTGCTGGCCTTGGACACAGCAGGGGACACTGAAGAGAGCAGGGGGTCAGATGCAGCCCGAAGTGGGGACAGTGTGCCTCCCGCCAGGCCCCCCACTATATTTTCCTCCTCCTCCTCCATCAGAATGTCCTCCAACCCGAGGTGGAAGGGTCCCCCCAGGTCCCCCAGGTGGTCGCTGGAAAAGTGCAGGTCCAGAAGGGCATCCGAGGGTGGCGCGGGGGGCTGCTGATGGGGTGCATTCGGGGCAGGTGCCCCCGCCACATGAAATGTGCCTGGTTGGCCCTCCTCTTCAACATCCAGCTGCTCTGGTTTGAGGCTATCAGAAACGGAAGTTGTGGCCATGGAGAGTAGCCCTGGAGCGGGTGGTACTGGCAGACCATGGATCTGAGCCTGTAGTTCTAGCTCCTGCAAAAGAGTAAGGGGTGCGAAGCCAGAGAAGATGGGATTCGGCATCCCTCAGAGGTAGGAGTGTAATGGTTAAAGATAGGCTTCCTGGGTTCAATTCTGCCATTGCTACCCACTACTTGTCCAAATTTAGGCAAGACACTTAATATCCATAAGCCTGTTTCCCAATTTGTAAAATGGGTATGATAATACACCTTCTCGCACAAGTGGTTGTAAGGACTAAATGAATTAATGCGTGTAAAACTCTTGTTACTGTGCACGGCCCAAGAAAAATGCTTTAAAATGAGTTAATATTTTTAATTATTCTGGTTGCTGTTATGATCATTACTTAGCAGCAGCATATGAGTCAGGGAAGCCGGGGATCCCCCCAGTATGCTAGAAGAGAAATTCAGGTCTGTCTTTCTCTGCCTGCCTGCCTTGCCCAGATCAACATCTCCTCCCTCCAGACCTGAATTCGGAGCTGCAGGCTCCGATTGGCCTGCTCCAGGGATCGCTGCCGGCTCTCCAGGTCCTTGGAACGCTGTTGCTCCTTCTGCAACTTGCGGATATAATCCACAGAGGCCTTCAGGATGGTGCCCTTGTTCCAGCGCATCTCCCTGTGTAGCCCGAAGGGGACGAAAGAGGCAGTGTTGCACATGGCCTTTCTCGGGAGGGAACCACATCAGGTAGGTAGACCCCACCACTACATGCCTAGAATTGAGGTAGGGGTACATCAAGGACATAAAATGCGCAGATGGGAATATCCTGCCTGGAACCTTCCAATGGTGCCCACAATACCCCAGACCCAAGATTACCCCCTCTGCCCTAACCTCAACCTCGGACAGCTCACCTGTTACCTAACCAAACCCAAATCAGTGGCCGTTGAATCAGTTCCAACTTATGATGATCCCGTGTGTGTCAGAGTAGAACTGCGCTCCATGGGGTTTTCAATGGTTGATTTTTTCAGTAGATGACCAAGCCTTTCTTGGGAGGTACTTTTGGATAGATTGCGGAGCACTTTAACTGTTTATGCCATCTACGGAATCCACCACTTGCCTCCCTCCCTCTAATTCACCTCAGGATGGCCACACTGGTCTCGCAGTGTTCTTTCAACATGAAAAAGAATTCTCATCTCAGGGTCTCTGTTCTGGTTCCGCCCTTTACTTGGAACACTCTTTCCCCAGATATTCCTATGGCTCCCTGCCTTTCATCCTTTATTCAACTGCTTCCTTGTCATCACTTGAGGCTTGCCCTGTCCCATGCTCCTCATCCCAAATGATAACCCTCCTGTTCTGGATTGAACAATGTCTACCCACCCCCACCTCACCCCCCAAAAAAGGGATTTGTTGAAGTCCTTTCCCCCATTCCTGTGAACATGACTTTGTTTGGACATAGAGTCTTTGACAGTGTTATCAGTTACCACGCTGGGTCCTGATTCAATAGGAACGACTCTTTATAAAAAGAGAAGGCGCAGAGAGACACAGGGGAAAGACAGCCAGGTGAAGATGCACTGATACACCAAGGAATGCCTTGAGCTACCTGAAACCCGGAGAGACAAGGAGGAGCCTTTACAGAAATCACGATAATGCTAATAGCCTGAATTTCAACTACCAGTCTCTAAATCTGGAAGACAAATGTCTAATTGTATAAGCTACCCAGTTTGTGGTATTTTCTTACAGGAACCTTAGGAAATGAATACAGATTTTGGTACCGAAGTGAGGTGCTGCTATAACAAATACCTAAAAGAAGTGGCTTTAGAATTGGGTAATGGTTAGAGGCAAGAAGAATTTTGAAGTACTCGGTAGCAACTGCCTAAACAGCTTGGAGGTTGTTGGTAGAACAGGGAAGCTGATTCTAATGAGGTATCAGATATAATTGAAGAGGGCTGTGGGGAAAGCTTCTGTCATCAAGAACAGAATGTCGCTGGAAATATGGACATTAAATGTGCTTCTGGTAAAACCTTAAAGGAACGAATGGACATGTTATTAGATAATGGAGGAAAGGGGATCTTTGTTATAAAGTGGGCAAGGACTGGGCTTTGTTTTGTGTTTGAGTGTTTTCTGGAAAACGGAACCTGAAAATTTAGCACATTCTCAGCTTATCTGTATTGTAAAACTAGAGAAAGCGTGTTCTGGAAAGAGCACCAAGGGTGTGGGTGGACAAACATTTGCTAAAGAGCTCCAATCAACCATCTCAGGCAGCTTAGACTGAAGGGAACAAAATTAAGCAGCGCTATTAGATTACTGGGATCCTCAGAAAAAGAAAAAAAGAAAAACCTAAAACGCCACTCACACTCAGTGCTGTGGAGTCCATGCTATCCCTACAGGGGCAGAGTAGAACAACCCCTGTGAGTTTCTGAGACTTCAACTCTTTACAGAAGTAACAACCCTCAACTTTCTCCCTCGGAGCAGCTGGTGGTTTCAAGCTGCTGACCTTGCGGACCACAGCCAAATGCATGGCCACTGCAGCTGCTTGCCCAAGGAAAGGGAAAGGTAATATTTACAATCCTTATAGCATCGTGATACACAGGGGCTTGAAAAGTGGTGGAAAATGGAATGAAAAGACAATGGAAGTGTCCCATGAAATTTGGAAGCCCTTTGATATTTTGGAAGCATAAACTTGTGCTCTAAGATTCACAGATCCACCAATGGGATGGAGAGGAGTCTTGCCCTAATAGCCAGAGTTGCACATCCGTGACTGATTCAGATGATAAGATTTTGGACTTACGAATGAATATGAATATAGTTTGCATTTGGAAAGGACCTGAACATTTTTTGGGTGGCGGTGCGGCAGAGGATAGACTGACTGTTAGGGATCAAGTGTCCTCTCCCCAAAATATGTTGCTGTCCCAACTTCTGGTTCTATGGACATGACCTTGTTTAGAAACAGGGTCTTGAAATTGTTGCCGGTTAACACGAGGTGAACAATGCATCTCCACAGCAAAGAACATTTGGGGGCTACCAGAAGCTGAGAAGAGACTTCCCCAGAACTGTGAGACAATACATTTCGGTTCTTTAAGGCACCTACCTTGTAAAATTTTGGAAACTAATTTACCTCCCCGATATGTCCCTAATATGTATCACTTCCTTTCTTGACTCTTCTCTATACTAATTCTCTCAACATCTCATGAATTTTACTTATTTATCTTTCTTGCTGTCGGCTTGCCTTTACAAGGCCAGGGGTTTTGGTCTGTTTTGCACCCTTTGTTATCTGCAGGGTCTAGAATAGGGCTTAACACAAAGCAAAAGCTCAATAAATTCTTCAACAAATAAACAACCCAAACGAATACACTGTCACTGAGGCAATTCCAACTCACAGCAGCCCTATAGGACGGAGTACAAACTGTCCCACGTTTCCCCCACGCAGCGGGACGGTGGCTTTGCATAGCCAATCTTTAGGTTAGCAGCCAATTGTTTTACCACGACGCCACTAAGGCTCCTTTCAATCAATAAAGAACGTACTAAATAAATAAGAAACCAAGTGCATCATATCAAATGTGGACCGCATGAGCCACATGATCATGCACTTAACATTTTAGTTGGAGACAATGAGGGGCTACAACTCGGCTGAGGGGGAGGCAAGCTGGGTGAGAAAGGCCCACCTAGGAAACAATTTGGAGGAACAAGATCCCTAGTCCACACCCCCACTGGTCTGCTATTCCCAGTAGCCCAGACTTACGGGTCACTGGACTTGGGGATGAGGGTGCCCAGTTCCTTGATCCTGTCGTTAATGTTGAATCGCCTGCGACGTTCGACTTTGATGAAGGGGGGAGAAAAAGAGTGGGAATGAGTCATCAAGAAGTGCAGGTGGGAGGAGAGAAATGGGGGATTGAGGAGGCTCTTGTCGGAAAGGGGCTCTCCAGAAGGGGGTGGAGGGGTTCCGAGGAAGGCAGGGCTGCACAAGCTCTCTCACTTACTTAGATTGTGATTGTCTTTCTTCTGCCGTTCTTTCAAAAGGGCTTTTGCCTCCGTTTCTGGAAGAGAGTGCGGGGTGGTCAGGGCCTCTGGGTGTAGGAAAGAGGGGAACGTGGACAGCTGCTGAGGTAGGGTTTGGTGGACAAAGGCAAGAGGAAGTGACTTAAAAAAAAAGTGCTAGTCTTTACTGTTTTGTCAAAGCCCAGATGACATGCCAGTTGTTAAAAACCAAGATGAGAGGCTAGGAGAGGAAGTGGGCTTAACAGCAGGACCGAGGGCCATGTGGAAAAAGAGCGCTCACAGCTACTTTCTGTCTGATTAAACTACTTCTAATGCAACCAGGCCCACTCGTACACCTGATAGACATGGCGCTCACCTCGGGGTACATGGTGGGCTTATGGTGCCGTGACCCTGGAACTCACCAGAGATCTCCCGTTTGATGTTAGGTAGCTCAGCTGGGCAGGAGTTGCTGACAGTGATGGCTGGTGTGGCCACATTCTGATTACTGTACACATCTAGAAGATTCCCTGACACAGGCAACTGGGAATAGGAGGAAAGAGAAACAATCAGTTGGAACATACCCCAGGTCACTCCCTTCCTCAGAACCAGGTTCCTGACACCCTCCACAATCCCAAAGAGGGGACCTACTAACCCAGGGATTGGCTGGCTTAGCAAAGAAACTCTACTTTTTCCCTCAAGGGAAACAAGGCAGTCCAACAGGGAAAAGTGGACCTACTATGATTTTCCAGGGAATGGACCTGTCTGGTTTGCTCATCACCGCCACCCCACCACAACCTCTCAGCGACCTCTAACAGTCCTCTCCTAAACCTCAGGATTGGCTCTGTGGAGAAATGTTGGAAAACCAATATTCTTAGGTTTGTCTGTCTTTGCTCCGATGCAACATTAGCTACTCCCAGGCCTACATTACAATACAGCGTTTTCAGAATACTTTGACCCAATCTGCTTAGACCTTGATCAAAGCAATATTCCACCCAAAATCTGGCCTCCTGCAGTGTTCCAACGCAACCTCCAGTCTTTTGCTGTGATCATTAGGTGTATGGTGTGTGGGCTCATGCTGTCCTGACTCTGGGTCAGACTTTAATGCCTCCGGGCACAGTTTGAGCTGAGGTTTTCTTTTCCACCTACTCAAGTGGAACTGCTGTTAGGTCTGCTTGGAGAATTTCCTCTCCTTTGTACTTTCTTGCGTATACTCCCAAGATAGCTCCTCACACTGACTCAGCATACTTAATCCCACTTCTGGATGCAAACCCCCCTCCCAGTTCTGATCAACGGGTACCATTTTCATATCTGCTTCTATCCTCTTGATAAACTGGGGGTGGGGGGGAGGGAACCAAAGTTACAGCTACATATGTTCCAAAGCAAGTTATGAGCTTCTTGGAATGTTCTAAAATCAGGATGTTGCTATTTTTTTAATGAATCATTTTAGTGGGGGCTCTTACAGCTCTTATAACAATTGATATGTTGATTGTATCAAGCACATTTGTACATATGTTGCCATCATCATTTCTAAGACATTTTCTTGCTACTTGAGCCCTTGGGATCAGCTCCTCTTTCCCCCCCTCCCTCCCCCATCCCTATGAACCCTTGATAATTTAGAAATTATTTTTATTTTCATATCTGCTGTCTCCCCTCACCCACATTTCTGTTGTTCATCTCCATGCGGGGGGAGTGTTATACGTTGATCATTGCGATCAATTCCCCCTTTCTCCCTCCTCCTTCCCCCCACCCTCATGGTATCGCTACTCTCAATAACTATATCTCGATACATCCCTTGTTCTACAAAGTTTTATCAACTCTCTAAAAGTATCCAACCTTGTGGTACAAGCCATGGCAAGTTCCTTAGTATAGTTCAACCACTTGTTATATCCCATACCATGTTTTGAGACTTGTAATGTTCCCATCTACATAGTCTAAGTATGTCTAAGTGATCTGGATTCTTGAGTACATTCAAACTGCTACAGGATTCCCACTTCTTGGTACCTCCCAAGTTCTTTGGGACACCTGAATATTTCCATGAACTCTCCACCTTGTATATATCACCCTCTATAAGGAGGCCTATCTCTTGATACAGTTCAATGCCAAGTCCAAGAGCACTGGGAGGCCCCATTCTTTTCATAAGGGCTTATCCTCAGTACAATCCAAAGCAAGGGTCTATCTATACATGAGCAGCAGTAAATGAGGTCTCCGTGATAAAAGGATACCCTACTTTTCAGACTAAGCCCGTGTCTTGGGGGCTCACCGTGCTGGGGAGCTGCAAGGCTGCAGTGCCTCCAGGCAAGTAACCGAGCATCTCATCATTGTAACTGGATTCCAGGCTGATGATCTCATCAATGACATCATCGATCTGGGGGAAAATGGAAATAGGGATTAGAAGATATTGAGGGAAGAGTAGGGAAGGAAGGAGGGAAGGAGGGTTTTCTAAGGCTACTCACTTCCTTCTCTGAGCTGGAGCCTATGGTGAGCAGTGCCATGGGGCTGTTGGGAGCGCTGCCTGCAGGGCCAGTAGCATGCACAGCCTCAGGGGCAGGGTGCGGCTGGGCACTCGTGGGCCCGGGTGGTGGGTTGAGGGCCTGGGAGGCCAGCTTGGGTCCAAGTGTGGTAGACAGGTACTGTTTCACTTGTTGTCGGCGTGCCTGCTGTAGGTGGTAGCGTGTTGGGTTTTCCAGATGAGTCTGCACCTGAGGGATCAGGGGGAGGGGCAAAGTAGAACAAACCTCAGAGGGACAACTCTGAGCCTCCACCTGACCCCCACATTTCCCGTGTCCCCAGTTTCTCCTAAGATCTAGAGTCCTTTCTCAGAAATCTCTCACTCCCAAGAACCATCCATGGAGTACTCTCAGTGCCAAAAGAACTCTTAATATATCACACATGAGGGGCTTCCGCCAAAGTCACGGAAAAGTTCAAAGTCCTTTCATTCAGTCCTTGCACAATTGTTGAAGCCCCATGTACAAGCAGCTCTTCCTACAGCCACGTCACAGACCTCCAGACCCATTCGGAGGGTTCACAACCCTTCATGGTTCCCCAAGACATCTTCACGGCCTCAAGAACCCCTCCGGACCTGACAGGAACCCCTTAGGAATTCTAGCCACAATAGGACATGAGCGCAATCCATTTGTAGCAGGGCCTCAGCTCGCCCTTAGAGACCCTAGGGCCTTACCCCAAAGCCAGGAGAGTTCCCAGACCACCCCCAGCCACTCAGTCTCCAAGAGACCCTTCCCATGGTCTCCAGATCTCACCTTACCTTGAGTACCTCCCTGGGCACCTGAGCAGGGGGAGGGCGACTCAATGTGTGGCCCCCAGCAGAGACACCAACCACAGAAATGGCAGGAGAGGCAGGTGCAGGGCTGGGGAAGGGAGCGGCAGCAGCCTGTTCCCGCCGCTCACGCCTCTCCTGCTCCTGGGCTTGGGCCCGCATTAGCTGCTGACGCAGCAAGACCCTTGAAGATGATGACGATGACATGGCAGGGGTCCTGGAGCCCCCTGCAGAAGACGATGCAGAGAGTGTCGCTGGAGTGGCTGGTGTGGCCTGTAGTGATATTGGGAGGCTGTGGATGGGAAATATGGGGCCACAGGTAAGCTAAAAATCTCAGCCCAAGCCTAAGGAGTCATACATAGGGTTATGGAAAAGACAAGACCCAGGCTTGTTTGCTGTCTTGGAAGGCTATAGTATAGTGGTGGGGACACATAGGGAGCAGACCAGGTCCCAGCCCTCAGTTCTTAGAGGTGGGCCCCGGATTTTGGTCTGTTCACATACGGAGGGAGGATGTCCTTGCTCAGCTCTGGGTGAGTGGGTTTATCCTATTTGAAGACAAGTCGAAGGAAGCAAGATTGGGCCTGTACCTGTAGAATGTTGGTCCCGAAGAGTTCTTTTTTAATCATTTTATTGGGGGCTCGTACAGTTCTTATCACAATCCATCCATACATCCATCCATTGTGTCAAGCACATTTGTACATTTGTTGCCATCATCATTCTCAAAACAGTTGCTTTCTACTTGAGCCCTTAATATCAGCTCCTCATTTTCCCCCCTCCCTTCCCGTTCCCCCCTCCCTCATGAACCCTTCATAATTCATACATTATTATTGTTTTGTCATATCTTACACTGCCCGACATCTCCCTTCACCCACTTTTCTGTTGTGTGTCCCCCAGGGAAGAGGTTATATGTAGATCCTTGTAATCTGTTCCCCCTTTCTACCCCACCTTCCCTCCACCACCCCCTGGTATCGCCACTCTCACCACTGGTCCTGAAGGGGTCATCTGTCCTGGATTCCCTGTGTTTCCAGTTCCTATCTGTACCAGTGTACATCCTCTGGTCTAGCCAGATTTGTATGGTAGAATTGGGATCATGACAGTGGGGGGAGGAAGCATTTAAGAACTAGAGGAAAGTTGCATGTTTCATCGTTGCTACCCTGCACGAAGAGTTCTTAAATCCAATTTAGGGCATTTGTTATGCCCAGAATTCTTGGAATGGGCATCAGGGGAAGCCCTGGGGCAGTGGTTCTCAACCTTCCTAATGCCGCAACCCTTTAATACAGTTCTTTGTGTTGTGGTGACCCCCCCACCAACCATAAAATTATTTTCGTTACTATTTCATAACTGTCATTTTTCCACTGTTATGAATCGGGCGACCCCTGTGAAAGGGTTATTCAACTCCCAAAGGGGTCGTGACCCACAGGTTGAGAACCACTGCCCTAAGGTCCTCTGGTTCCCCTCTCTGGGGCTCTAGTCCCAGAGGCTGCTAGTCAGTCTTGAATATCGGAGATTTCACAATCCTCTTTTCCTGCCCCTCTTCCAGGTCCCCTCCCCTCTCTTAGAGTTCAGGCCCCATGACTCAGCACATTTAGACTTCCAAAGCAAGGGGAATGAAGAAGGCAGCAGGGCTTCCTCAAGAGTGGGGGTGGGGGTGTTTGTTGAGTGTGGGAGGAGACTGAGCAGATGTTGTGGGTATAGGCTCTGCCCACCTGGGCCAAGTACTAGAATAGGCCCCGCCCAGTCCCTGAACACCTTAGGTGAGAAAACACTTGCACATGAATGTGTGCTCAGGTAGGAGATTGGGGCAGGGGTCTGGTAGAGATACCCGGGAAGGCATCTTAGGTTGGCTACCTGCTTTCCAGCATAAAATGCTCTTTCTAGCTTCTGTTTTCCCGGCTGAAAAAGGCAGGCTGGTGGGAGAATGGGCTGGACTGGTGTTAAGGGCCTGTGATTGTCAAGAGGGGACTGGTGGGCAGATGAACTGGAGGGAGTCCAACAGACAGTGAGTGGCTTACCTTGAGTGGAGGGGTAGGGGCTGGCTTTTGAGTTCGTAGAAGTTGTCAGGATCGAGGATGTTTTCTAATTCGATGTCAGCGACAATTCCAGATTCCGGAAGCAAAGAGTTCAGGCTGATGGGGAAGGTAGGAGTGATGGTCAGTGGTCAGAGAGACAGATAAGTAAGGGACGAGACAAGGGAACAGAGTGTACCCTCACAGTGGGCCACCCCACTTGGTACCATCACCAGGAATTCCCACATCCTCTCTCTTCACTCCCACATGCTCTGTATCACCCATCACCCCTTAATATTCAAAATAAAAAAGAATATCTGGATCACCCCCTCACACACACACACCCCATACTAACAATCACATGTAATAGGAACCTAGGTTTTAATTCAATAGAAATTCAGAATTTAGGAACTATGATTCATTTTACAGGATTCCGGACTTTGCATTCAGAACTCTCCCAGCCCCCACACATCCTACCACTTTCCTGATAGCTCAACATGAGCCCACGTTTGTGCCCCCCCCCACACAACATGTAGGGATGTCCTCCTGCATAACAGTCTATTGTAGCAACAAACAAACCCCCCCCCAAAAAAACCCTCAAAAAACAAAAACGGAATTCATCACAAAGAGGACTAAGGGCTGATTCACTCAAAATAAGGGTCAACTGCTTTGCAAAAATGCTTTCCTCCCCAGCCCCAGCCCGAGTGTATGGGACGCCAACACATACCCCAATCCAAAATGGAAATAGCAAAGGCTCCCCTCGCTCCAAGTGCCTGCATTGCCAAGAGGGAGAATTTGAATGGGTGATCCACTTTATAGGAGCATTCTTTTCTCAGTGGGAGGAGTCTTCCCAGCCCTCTCAGGGTTTTTTTTTTTTTTTTTGAGAGATCAACACACACACCAACACCAAGACCCACTGACACAAAATAAGAAGCCACATACATCCCTCCCTTTCAACTATCCCATGGCTGTGATGATCAATATACAGAAAGGCTCCTACTTAGCCTTCAATGTTGGGCATGAGAAATCTAGTTGTGAGTGTATGTACACACACGTTCACATGTGGATATACACAGCTTTAAATGCAAAGATTTTGAACCCTGAGAAATTGCAGAAATTGACAAGAATTCTTTCTCCCCTCCCCAAGGATCTGCCTGCCTTCCTCTTACCCTCAAATGGGGCCCTAAAACCACCCAGGAAGTTGGGAAGAGGAAGCCCAAGGAGCTGCTGAGTTCAGCACAAACCCCAGCAGAAAATAGTCAAAGCCCCCTCCCAGGCTCACACATTCTTTTCACAGACGTTGGAAAAGATGGGCGCTGCTGTGTGGGTAAGGATGCAGGCAGGGAGGGCTAGGGCTCCCAAGACGGTGGGTGGTGGATGGAAGTGAGGATAAGAAGAGGACCCACCCAAGGAAGGATGGTACAATCAGTGTTCATTTCTGCTCTAGGGAAAGATTCGAGATTATAGCCAGTGGCTGAGAGTGGTCAACTGAGAGGTCAAAATGAAAAAGAACAGGGATTGAGGAGAGGGATAGAGGGGAGGGCCCTAGGGCTGCCAAAGAGGCTAGGTCTGGTGGGGCCAGGAACAAGAAAGACCCTCCTCTGGTTCCCAAATAAGGTCTGAGTTCCGAGGCAGCACTAGCTTCATCCCCTATATGTACCTGCCTCCAAATCTGTCTTTAATGAGCTTCTGGTAGGGGACTTTACTCTACTACCTCTGGGATCTAACCCAGCTTGTGGGGGGCGGGGGGGGGGGCAGAGGGTTAGGGGATGTCCTGGTGATTGTTGCTTTTCTTGTGCACACAAACATAACACACACAAGGCTGGTCTCTGCAGCATACCGGAGATACCCCACATCTGGCCAGACTACTATGATCCCCAAACACTGCCTGCCACAACAAGCCACCGGCAGTCACCAAGCTCCAGGACCACTACTGTTAAGGGAATCCTGGAATCCCTTTCCTTTGGAATAGAATAGGAAAGAGATTCCAGGGCTCCCTTAAAATCAGTGTCGCACCTGATAATGTCCCCTTAAATGCATCCTTGACTCAAACCCCTGGCCCTGGAGTCCATTCTGACTCATAGCGACCCTATAAGGACAGAATCGACCGGTTTCATAGGGTTTCCAAGGAATTACATCTTTATAGAAGCATACAAGTCATATTTTCCTTGAGGGGCTGTTGGTGGATTCAAGCTACAGACCTTTAGGTTAGCAACCGGGCGGTTCAGGGAACCCAAATTCAGCCTCACCAGGATCTCCTCAAGTTGGGCTATCCCAGGCCAGTTTCAGAGCAGCCAATCACCAGAATCTATCCCTCCAGACCCAGTCAAGGGTCCCCCCACTGTGGCCCAGGTCCCTCCAATGCACTCCCCCGACTCCTTTAAACCTCAGTCCAAGCAGCCACCGCCGCCGAATCCCTTTGAGTGACCCCCCACCCCCACCCCAAGACGGGGCGCCCAACGTCCTCCAAGCCTAGGCCGAAGCTCTGTAGCCCTTACATCGGGCCCAGAGGAACCCCAACAAGCACTCCCAGCCCCAGGCGGCCCCGCACCTGAGCAGCTGAGCGGAGTCGGCCGACCTGCGGTCTTCCAACAGCACAAACACGGCTCGAGGGCCCTCTGCGCTGGTCTCTACACCGTCCCGGGTTGGCTCGGCTGCATGAGACATGACGCCCGGCACCGGGCGAGCCCTGCCATGCAGGTCGGGCCTCGGCCCGGTCCCCCTAACAAAATAAGAGTCCCCCTCCCCCCAGCTCGCTACCGCCTCCTCCCCAGCTAAGCCATGGAGCGAGCTCTGCGCGGGGCGGCGGCGTCGGGGAGATGGGATGGGCCGTGAGTCATCCCCCGCCCTGGACTGACCGACCCCCCCACCCCACCACCTAACCCCAGACGACCGCCTTCCTCCCCCTTGTCCTCTCCCCCTCCCTGCGCTGTGGAAACTCCACAGGAAGTGACCGCACTGGAGTGACAGCTCGTCTGTTTCCACCCTTGTAGGCTGTTGCCAATCGCTGTCCGGTGCTAGAGGCCCCGCCCTAAACCACGCCTCCAGAGCCGAGGGAAAACTAGATTCTTCCCACCTTCATTCCAAGAAGGCTGAAGGGGCATGTGGGCCACGCCCTCAAAGGCGGAGGCACAGCCACTCAGGATAATTGAGTCGAGGTACGCCTCCAGGTTTGCGTAACTTTCTGAGCCACGCCTCCTCTCAATTTTTTTCCCCCCGGCAAGCTAAGAGTAAGGCGCCTCGGTGCCTGCGCACTGGAGGCTCGTCTGGACCGGGGGCTCCGCGCTTCCAGTGGCAGAACCGCGCCCTCTCTTGGCCAATATTCGTAATTTCGGCCTCCAGACTGCGTCCCAACCCAGCGGCCGTCCTCAGCCAGAGTCTGCACTACAAGGCTCGAAAGAACCCCGCCCCATCAATACTTGCTGCCCATCAACTCAGCGGGTCTTCCCACGGACTCTGCCTATTCTCTGCCATCTACAGCAACTTCGTAAAATAACATAGAAAACCAAACTCACTGCCGACTCAGTGACCCTATAGAGCTGCCCCTGTGAGTTTCCGAGACGGGAACTCTTCACGGGAGTCTCAAGTCCTGTTTTTCTCCCGTGAAGCGGCTGGTAGTTTCGAACTGCTAACCTGGGGGTTAGTGACCCACTTTGTAGCTGCTCAGTAAACCCTTGACGGATGAATGACTGCACAGATGGGAATTAGAGCTGGCTCTTTCCATGAGTGACTTCTGCAGTCACTGGAGTTGGGATATGGGCAGAAGACTTTCCCGAGCCACTCTACAGGTCTCTGTTTTCCAAGCTTATAAAATGGGAGTCAGAATACCTCTCTGGCAGGGCTGTTAGAAAGATTAGAGATAACGAGTGAAAAGTGCTAGAAGGTTGTCAGGATACAATACTATCTCCAAAAATGCATTAATTCACTCGTTTCTTCACTGATTAAACAAATGCTTGTTGAGCACTTCTGTGGGCCAGGTACATGGAAGCCGGTTTGCACATAGTGGCAGGTATCACCCGTAACTTCCCAAGGACTCATTCATCGGCTGGACCTCCAAGAACGTTACTGACGCCAATTTGCCTTACACCATTATGTAATAATAACTTTGTTTCCCAGGTGGCATAATGGTTCCGCGTTGTACTGCGATCCTAAAGGTCAGCAGTTCCAGACCACCAGCCACTCTGTGGGAGGCAGATGAGGCTTTCTACTCCCATAAAGTTGTCACCATGAAACATACAACTTTCCTTTAGTTCTTTAATGCGTCGTCCCCCCCACCCAACACTATCATGACCCCAATTCTACTCAACAAATCCGGCTAGGCAAGAGCAGGTACACCGAGATAAGAGCTGGAAACACAGGGAATCCAGGACAGATAAACCCCTCAGGACCAATAATGAGAGTAGCCATATTAGGAGGGAAGGGGAAGGTGGGGGTGGGGAGAGGGGGAATCGATCACAATGATCTACCTATAACCCCCTCCCAGGGGGATGGACAACAGAAAAGCGGGTGAAGGGAGACATCGGTCAGTGTAAGACATGAAAAAATAATTTATAAATTATCAAGGGTTCAGGAGGGAGGGAGGGTAGTGGAGGGAGGGAAAAAAATGAGCGCCAAGGGCTTAAGTAGAAAGAAAATGGTTTTAAAAAAAATCACTTTATTGGGGGCTCATACAACTCTTATCACAATCCATACATACATCAATTGTGTAAAGCACATTTGTACATTCGTTGCCCTCATCATTCTCAAAACATTTGCTCTCCACTTAAGCCCTTGGCATCAGCTCATTTTCCCCCTCCCTCCCTGCTTCCCTCTCCCTCATGAGCCCTTGATAATTTATAAATTATTATTTTATCATATCTTACACTGTCCGACGTCTCCCTTCACCCACTTTTCTATTGTCCACCCCCCAGGGAGGAGGTTATATGTAGACCCCTGTAATCAGTTCCCCCTTTCCACCCCACCCTCCCTCTACCCTCCCGGTATCCCCACTCTCACCACTGGTCCTGAAGGGATCATCCACCCTAGATTCCCTGTGTTTCCAGTTCTTATCTGTACCAGTGTACATCTTCCGGTCTAGCCGGATTTATAAGGTAGAATTGGGATCATGATAGTGGGGTGGGGAGGAAGCATTTAGGAACTAGAAGAAAGTTGTATGTTTCATCAATGCTACACTGCACCCTCACTGCCTAAACTACTCCCCGTAACCCTTCCATAAGAGGATGTCCAGTTGCCTACAGATGGCCTTTGGGTCCCCACTCCACACTCCCCTCATTCACAATGATATGATTTTTTTGTTCTTTGATGCCTGATACCTGATCCCTTTGACACCTCATGATCACACAGGCTGGTGTGCTTCTACCATGTGGGCTTTGTTGCTTCTGAGCTAGATGGCCACTTGTTTACCTTCAAGCCTTTAAGACCCCAGACGCTATATCTTTTGATAGCCAGGCTCCATCAGTTTTCTTTGCCACATTTGCTTATGCACCCGCTTTGTCTTCAGCGATTGTGTCTGGAAGGTGAGTATCATGGAATGCCAGTTTAATAGAACAAAGTATTCTTGCATTGAGGGCGTACTTGAGTGGAGGCCCAATGTCCACCTGCTACCTTAATACTAAACCTATAAATATATGCACATAAATCTGTTTTCCCCATCCTCACATATAAATATATTTACATATGTACATGCCTTTATTTAGACCTCTATAAATGCCCTTTGCCTCCTAGCTCTCTTTACTCCTATTTCTCTTTACTTTCTTCTTGTCCCACTATCATGCTTAGCCTTTATTTGGGTCACAGTAATTCCTCTCCATTACATTACCCTTGATCACGCCCTACCAGGCCTCCTACACTCTCCTCACAACCAATTTGGATCACTTGTTGTTCCCTGGCCCTGGGTTTATTAACACCACTTCCTTTTCCCCCCATCTCCCTTTCTCCCATGTTCCCCTGGAACTGTTGTTCCTGTTGTTTTCTCCTCCAGATTGTTCATGTAGCCTATCTTATTTAGATAGATCTACAGAAAGAAAATGTTTTGAAAATGATGATGGCAACAAATGTACAAATGTGCTTGACACAATAGATGGATGGATAGTGTGATAAGATCTGTATGAGTCCCCAATAAAATGATTTTTTAAAAAGTTACAGTCTGGGAAACTCACAGAGGCAGTTCTACTCTGTTCTGTAGGGTCTCTATGAGCCAGCATCAACTTGATGGCAGTGAGTTTGGTTTTAGAGTTGGGTCTATCAGCTTGGTAAACACTCATCGACACACACTCAGACACAACAGTGTCTTGGAAAGTGTGAGACTCCAGTAATAAAAATGATATTTCTCCCACAAATCAGTGTTTTTAAAAAATCAAATATCCCAATCAAACTCACTGCCACTGAGCCGATGCTGACTCGTAGCGACCCTGTAGAACAGAGTAGAATGGTCCCAGTTTATGAGAGTAGAAAGCCACATTTTTCTCCCACAGAGTGGCTGGCAATTTCAAACTGCTAACTTAACAGCCCAATGTATAGTGCTCCCATAAATTCCAAAGTGGAACTTAGATATCTGATGCTAAAATTCTCATGGTGGTTTACGGGAGTTTTGATCAAGGACATAATAGAATTTATTCAATAAATGGGGAAAATATGAGACAGAATTTCAAATTCTTACTGGAAACTAGACTTAGTGGGTTCATGGACACTGGAGGAACCCCTGAACCTATTGTCTGGAAAGAACTTTTAAGCCTTGAACCAAAACTATCACATGAAATAATCTGTATACTAAACCATTTGGCCCTGGTGGTGTAGTGATAACACCTTAGGCTGTGATCCGCATGGTCAGCCATTCAAAACCGCCAGTGAACAGTTTCAATCTCTGATAAAACACAGGGGGTCACTATGAGTCAGCATTGACTGGGGGGCAGCGAGTTTGGATTTGGGGTTTTTAGGTGGTTCATTTAACAAAGAATTTTTATCTTGAGCAGTGTGCCTTTTAAAAGACTCACCCCTATGAGATTAAGTGGACAACAAAACTGGAAAACATGGACAAGAACTTCAGAGTCTGAGCGGGCTGCGGCCCATATCGGCAGAGATGGGAGGAATAGTGACAGAACGTGAAGACTGTAACCATTGTAAATGAACCACACGTGTGAAATTTTTTGAACAGGTATATGTTTTGTTGTGTATATGTGCATCAAAAATTAAATTGAAAAATTGATAGCATCTGCAATATCTCAGGAGTAATTTTTAAAAGAATGAGAAAGAAGAGAGCATTATCTTACCAAATGAAAAATATATTATGAAACTCTAGTAATTAAAACAATGTCAGTGGGACAGAAAACCGACTCCAAAAATTGCTTTAGCTATTCATGCAAATTAATAAATTATAAAAATGACACTTCAAATTATCAGAGAGAATAAAATGCTTTGGGACTAAGTTATTGTCTTTTTTGATGGGATTACATCCATAAATTGCACAAGTCAGAAAAATGTATTTCACATTGGTTAGAGATCTGAAAGTAAAATAATAATTTTTTGGAATTTGTTTTAAGTTTAAAATGACTCTGGGTATGGAAGGCCTTCTCAAACAAAATACAACCTCACCCCACTCCCACACAGAACAAACAACAACTTTAACAAGATTTATTCCCGACTGGATGGATATATATTCTTGGAATTTTATCTTTTTAAAAATATATAGATAATTTTTATTGAATCTATAGAAAGATTTTCCAATTGAATAACACTTTCCTTGC